TCTGGCTGTGGTCTCTGAACCGGACCCCTCCGGCCTCTGGCTGTGGTCTCTGAACCGGACCCTCTCCGGCCTCTGGCTGTGGTCTCTGAACCGGACCCCTCCGGCCTCTGGCTGTGGTTCTGAACGGACCCTCGGCCTTGGCTGTGGTTCTGAACGGACCCTCTCCGGCCTCTGGCTGTGGTCTCTGAACCGGACCCCTCCGGCCTCTGGCTGTGGTCTCTGAACCGGACCCTCTCCGGCCTCTGGCTGTGGTCTCTGAACCGGACCCCTCCGGCCTCTGGCTGTGGTCTCTGAACCGGACCCTCTCCGACCTCTGGCTGTGGTCTCTGAACCGGACCCTCTCCGACCTCTGGCTGTGGTCTCTGAACCGGACCCCTCCGGCCTCTGGCTGTGGTCTCTGAACCGGACCCCTCCGGCCTCTGGCTGTGGTCTCTGAACCGGACCCCTCCGGCCTCTGGCTGTGGTCTCTGAACCGGACCCCTCCGGCCTCTGGCTGTGGTCTCTGAACCGGACCCCTCCGGCCTCTGGCTGTGGTCTCTGAACCGGACCCTCTCCGACCTCTGGCTGTGGTCTCTGAACCGGACCCTCTCCGACCTCTGGCTGTGGTCTCTAAACTGGACCCCTCCGGCCTCTGGCTGTGGTCTCTGAACCGGACCCCCTCCGGCCTCTGGCTGTGGTCTCTAAACCGGACCCCTCCGGCCTCTGGCTGTGGTCTCTGAACCGGACCCCTCCGGCCTCTGGCTGCAGCCTTGGCAGAGGCCAACACCAGGAACAGGTCTGACTGATGCTGATGAACACAGCTCTGGCTCTGGTCAAACAGAGACAGGCCCTCAGCAGAGGACCCCGGACCCCCTACTCCCGGAGAACCCCCCAAAGGACATCCCTGGGAACACGTCGAACGCCTCCAAATCCACAAAGCACATGTGACTGAGGCCAACTCCCATGATCTTACTGTGGCGCCCCCTGGTGGACACCTTTGTGTTGGTGACAAACTGTAACTGGCACAGAAGTCCAACAACTGAACCCTGCTCGGGTTCAGATCAGGGCCGTTCTTCCCCTTCACCCCTCTCCAAAGTGTCACTGGCGTCCCCCACATGGGCGTTGAAGTCCCCCAGGAGAATAGTCCCGGGCGCTGCACTGTCCAGTACCCCTCCCAAGGACTCCAAGAAGGCCGAGTACTCTGCACTGCTGTTAGGCCCGTGGGCACAACAACAGTGAGAGACTTGTCCCCCACCCGGAAGAGGAGGGACCTGACCCTCTCATTCACCGGGGAGAACTCCAACACGTGGAGCTGAGATGGGGGCAATGAGAATGGCCACCCCAGCTCGCCGCCTCTCCCCGCGAGAAACAGTGGAGCGTCCAACCCCTCTCAAGGAGTTGGGTTCAGAGCCCAAGCTGTGTGTTTGAGGCAAACCCAGGTCCCGGCTGGAGCCCTACCCTGGGAGGCCCTACCCTGGGAGGCCCTATCCTGGGAGGCTTTACCCTGGAAGACCCTACCCTGGGAGACCCTACCATGGGAGGCCTTACCCTGGGAGGCCTTACCCTGGGAGGCCCAACCAGGGGCATGAGGCCCAGACTTCAGGACTCACACACGTTAAGGTCCAGGGGAACAATGACTCTGAACATAAAATACAATCCTAACTTTAGCACAAAGGAGAAGAAAGTAAATAGTGTGTCTTTCTCACCGCGCAGTAGTGCGTCTCTACGGCGCAGTAGTGCGTCTCTACGGCGCAGTAGTGCGTCTCTATGGCGCAGTAGTGCGTCTCTACCGCGCAGTAGTGCGTCTCTACCGCGCAGTAGTGCGTCTCTACCGCGCAGTAGTGCGTCTCTACAGCGCAGTAGTGCGTCTCTACAGCGCAGCAGTGCGTCTCTACCTCGCAGTAGTGCGTCTCTACAGCGCAGCAGTGCTTCTCTACCGCGCAGCAGTGCGTCTCTACAGCGCAGCAGTGCTTCTCTACCGCGCAGTAGTGCGTCTCTACGGCGCAGCAGTGCGTCTCTACAGCGCAGCAGTGCGTCTCTACAGCGCAGCAGTGCTTCTCTACCGCGCAGCAGTGCGTCTCTACAGCGCAGCAGTGCTTCTCTACCGCGCAGTAGTGCGTCTCTACGGCGCAGCAGTGCTTCTCTACCGCGCAGTAGTGCGTCTCTACAGCGCAGCAGTGCTTCTCTACCGCGCAGTAGTGCGTCTCTACAGCGCAGCAGTGCTTCTCTACCGCGCAGTAGTGCGTCTCTACGGCGCAGCAGTGCGTCTCTACCGCGCAGCAGTGCGTCTCTACCGCACAGTAGTGCGTCTCTACAGCGCAGCAGTGCTTCTCTACCGCGCAGTAGTGCGTCTCTACAGCGCAGCAGTGCGTCTCTACCTCGCAGTAGTGCGTCTCTACCCCGCAGTAGTGCGTCTCTACCGCGCAGTAGTGCGTCTCTACCTCGCAGCAGTGCGTCTCTACCTCGCAGTAGTGCGTCTCTACCTCGCAGTAGTGCGTCTCTACCTCGCAGCAGTGCGTCTCTACCTCGCAGTAGTGCGTCTCTACCTCGCAGTAGTGCGTCTCTACCTCGCAGTAGTGCGTCTCGCAGTAGTGCGTCTCTACCGCGCAGTAGTGCGTCTCGCAGTAGTGCGTCTCGCAGTAGTGCGTCTCTACAGCGCAGCAGTGCGTCTCTACCTCGCAGTAGTGCGTCTCGCAGTAGTGCGTCTCGCAGTAGTGCGTCTCTACCGCGCAGCAGTGCGTCTCTACCTCGCAGTAGTGCGTCTCTACCTCGCAGTAGTGCGTCTCGCAGTAGTGCGTCTCTACCGCGCAGTAGTGCGTCTCGCAGTAGTGCGTCTCTACCGCGCAGTAGTGCGTCTCGCAGTAGTGCGTCTCGCAGTAGTGCGTCTCTACAGCGCAGCAGTGCGTCTCTACCTCGCAGTAGTGCGTCTCGCAGTAGTGCGTCTCGCAGTAGTGCGTCTCTACCGCGCAGCAGTGCGTCTCTACCTCGCAGTAGTGCGTCTCTACCTCGCAGTAGTGCGTCTCGCAGTAGTGCGTCTCTACCGCGCAGTAGTGCGTCTCGCAGTAGTGCGTCTCGCAGTAGTGCGTCTCTACAGCGCAGCAGTGCGTCTCTACCTCGCAGTAGTGCGTCTCTACCTCGCAGTAGTGCGTCTCTACCGCGCAGCAGTGCGTCTCTACCGCGCAGTAGTGCGTCTCTACCTCGCAGTAGTGCGTCTCTACCTCGCAGTAGTGCGTCTCTACAGCGCAGCAGTGCGTCTCTACCGCGCAGCAGTGCGTCTCTACCGCGCAGCAGTGCGTCTCTACCGCGCAGCAGTGCGTCTCTACCTCGCAGTTGTGCGTCTCGCAGTAGTGCGTCTCTACCTCGCAGTAGTGCGTCTCGCAGTAGTGCGTCTCTACCTCGCAGTAGTGCGTCTCTACCGCACAGTAGTGCGTCTCGCAGTAGTGCGTCTCTACCTCGCAGTAGTGCGTCTCTACCTCGCAGTAGTGCGTCTCTACCTCGCAGTAGTGCGTCTCTACCTCGCAGTAGTGCGTCTCTACCTCGCAGTAGTGCGTCTCTACCGCGCAGTAGTGCGTCTCTACGGCGCAGTAGTGCGTCTCTACGGCGCAGCAGTGCGTCTCTACGGCGCAGCAGTGCGTCTCTACGGCGCAGCAGTGCGTCTCTACCGCGCAGTAGTGCGTCTCTACCTCGCAGTAGTGCGTCTCTACCGCGCAGCAGTGCGTCTCTACCTCGCAGTAGTGCGTCTCTACAGCGCAGTAGTGCGTCTCTACGGCGCAGCAGTGCGTCTCTACGGCGCAGCAGTGCATCTCTACGCCGCAGCAGTGCGTCTCTACCGCGCAGTAGTGCGTCTCTACAGCGCAGCAGTGCGTCTCTACCTCGCAGTAGTGCGTCTCTACCTCGCAGTAGTGCGTCTCTACCTCGCAGTAGTGCGTCTCTACCTCGCAGTAGTGCGTCTCTACCGCGCAGCAGTGCGTCTCGCAGTAGTGCGTCTCTAACGCGCAGTAGTGCGTCTCGCAGTAGTGCGTCTCTACCTCGCAGTAGTGCGTCTCTACCTCGCAGTAGTGCGTCTCTACCTCGCAGTAGTGCGTCTCTACCTCGCAGTAGTGCGTCTCTACCTCGCAGTAGTGCGTCTCTACCGCGCAGTAGTGCGTCTCTACGGCGCAGTAGTGCGTCTCTACGGCGCAGCAGTGCGTCTCTACGGCGCAGCAGTGCGTCTCTACGGCGCAGCAGTGCGTCTCTACCGCGCAGTAGTGCGTCTCTACCTCGCAGTAGTGCGTCTCTACCGCGCAGCAGTGCGTCTCTACCTCGCAGTAGTGCGTCTCTACAGCGCAGTAGTGCGTCTCTACGGCGCAGCAGTGCGTCTCTACGGCGCAGCAGTGCATCTCTACGCCGCAGCAGTGCGTCTCTACCGCGCAGTAGTGCGTCTCTACAGCGCAGCAGTGCGTCTCTACCTCGCAGTAGTGCGTCTCTACCTCGCAGTAGTGCGTCTCTACCTCGCAGTAGTGCGTCTCTACCTCGCAGTAGTGCGTCTCTACCGCGCAGCAGTGCGTCTCGCAGTAGTGCGTCTCTAACGCGCAGTAGTGCGTCTCTACCTCGCAGTAGTGCGTCTCTAACGCGCAGTAGTGCGTCTCTACCTCGCAGTAGTGCGTCTCTACAGCGCAGCAGTGCGTCTCTACCTGGCAGTAGTGCGTCTCGCAGTAGTGCGTCTCTACCTCGCAGTAGTGCGTCTCTACCTCGCAGTAGTGCGTCTCGCAGTAGTGCGTCTCGCAGTAGTGCGTCTCTACCGCGCAGTAGTGCGTCTCTACCTCGCAGTAGTGCGTCTCGCAGTAGTGCGTCTCTACCATGCAGTAGTGCGTCTCTACAGCGCAGTAGTGCGTCTCTACAGCGCAGTAGTGCGTCTCTACCACGCAGTAGTGCGTCTCTACAGCGCAGTAGTGCGTCTCTACCTGGCAGTAGTGCGTCTCTACCACGCAGTAGTGCGTCTCTACAGCGCAGTAGTGCGTCTCTACAGCGCAGTAGTGCGTCTCTACAGCGCAGTAGTGCGTCTCTAGAGCGCAGTAGTCTCGCTCTACCCTCGCTCTACCTCCGCTCTACCTCCGCTCTACCTCCGCTCTACCCCGCTCAACCCTCGCTCTACCTCAGCTCTACCTCCGCTCTACCCTCGCTCTACCTCCGCTCTACCCTAGCTCTACCCTCGCTCTACCTCCGCTCTACCCTCGCTCTACCCCCGCTCTACCTCCGCTCTACCTCCGCTCTACCTCCGCTCTACCTCCGCTCTACCTCCGCTCTACCTCCGCTCTACCTCCGCTCTACCCTCGCTCTACCCTCGCTCTACCCTCGCTCTACCTCCGCTCTACCCCCGCTCTACCTCCGCTCTACCCTCGCTCTACCCTCGCTCTACCCTCGCTCTACCTCCGCGCTACCCCCGCTCTACCTCCGCTCTACCCTCGCTCTACCCCCACCTCGCTCTACCCTCGCTCTACCCTCGCTCTACCGCTTCCGCTCTACCTCCGCTCTACTCCGCTCTACCTCCGCTCTACCTCCGCTCTACTCCGCTCTACCCTCCGCTCTACCTCCGCTCTACCTCCGCTCTACCTCCGCTCTACTCCGCTCTACCTCCGCTCTACCCCGCTCTACCCCGCTCTACCTCCGCTCTACCCCGCTCTACCCCGCTCTACCCTCGCTCTACCTCCGCTCTACCTCCGCTCTACCCCGCTCTACCTCCGCTCTACCCCGCTCTACCCCCGCTCTACCTCCGCTCTACCCCGCTCTACCCCGCTCTACCTCGCTCTACCCCGCTCTACCCGCTCTACCCCGCTCTACCCCGCTCTACCTCCGCTCTACCTCCGCTCTACCCCGCTCTACCCCGCTCTACCCCCGCTCTACCCTCTCGCTCTCTACCCTCCGCTCTACCTCCGCTCTACCCTCCGCTCTACCTCCGCTCTACCCCGCTCTACCTCGCTCTACCCTCCGCTCTACCCCGCTCTACCCCGCTCTACCTCCGCTCTACCTCCGCTCTACCCTCGCTCTACCTCCGCTCTACCCCCGCTCTACCCCGCTCTACCTCCGCTCTACCTCCGCTCTACCTCCGCTCTACCCCCGCTCTACCCTCGCTCTACCTCCGCTCTACCTCCGCTCTACCCTCCGCTCTACCCCCGCTCTACCCCGCTCTACCCTCCGCTCTACCTCCGCTCTACCCCGCTCTACCTCCGCTCTACCGCTCTACCCCGCTCTACCCCGCTCTACCTCCGCTCTACCTCCGCTCTACCTCCGCTCTACCCTCGCTCTACCTCCGCTCTACCTCGCTCTACCCCGCTCTACCTCCGCTCTACCCCCGCTCTACCCCGCTCTACCCGCTCTCTCACCCGCTCTACCCCGCTCTACCCGCTCTACCCCGCTCTACCCCGCTCTACCTCCGCTCTACCTCCGCTCTACCCCCGCTCTACCCTCGCTCTACCCCGCTCTACCCCCGCTCTACCCCGCTCTACCCCGCTCTACCTCCGCTCTACCTCCGCTCTACCCCGCTCTACCTCCGCTCTACCCCCGCTCTACCCTCCGCTCTACCTCCCTCGCTCTACCTCCGCTCTACCCCCGCTCTACCCCGCTCTACCTCCGCTCTACCCCGCTCTACCCCGCTCTACCCCGCTCTACCCCGCTCTACCCTCGCTCTACCCCCGCTCTACCCTCGCTCTCTACCCCGCTCTACCCCGCTCTACCTCCGCTCTACCCGCTCTACCCGCGCTCTACCCTCGCTCTACCCCCGCTCTACCCCCGCTCTACCCCGCTCTACCCCCGCTCTACCCTCGCTCTACCCCCGCTCTACCCCCGCTCTACCCCGCTCTACCCCCGCTCTACCCCCGCTCTACCCCCGCTCTACCCCGCTCTACCCCGCGCTCTACCCCCGCTCTACCCCGCTCTACCCTCGCTCTACCCCGCTCTACCCCCGCTCTACCCCGCTCTACCCCCGCTCTACCCCCGCTCTACCCTCGCTCTACCCCCGCTCTACCCCGCTCTACCCCCGCTCTACCCCGCTCTACCCCCGCTCTACCCCGCTCTACCCCCGCTCTACCTCCGCTCTACCCCGCTCTACCCCCGCTCTACCCCCGCTCTACCCCCGCTCTACCCCCGCTCTACCCTCGCTCTACCCCGCTCTACCCCCGCTCTACCCCCGCTCTACCCCGCTCTACCTCCGCTCTACCCCGCTCTACCCTCGCTCTACCCCCGCTCTACCCCCGCTCTACCTCCGCTCTACCCTCGCTCTACCTCCGCTCTACCCTCGCTCTACCCTCGCTCTACCTCCGCTCTACCCGCTCTACCCTCGCTCTACCTCCGCTCCCTCGCTCTACCCTCGCTCTACCCCCGCTCTACCCTCCGCTCTACCCCGCTCTACCCTCGCTCTACCCCCGCTCTACCCCCGCTCTACCCCCGCTCTACCCCGCTCTACCCCCGCTCTACCCCCGCTCTACCCCCGCTCTACCTCCGCTCTACCTCCGCTCTACCCGCGCTCTACCCCGCTCTACCCCCGCTCTACCCCCGCTCTACCCCGCTCTACCCTCGCTCTACCCCCGCTCTACCCCGCTCTACCTCCGCTCTACCCCGCTCTACCCTCGCTCTACCTCCGCTCTACCCCCGCTCTACCCCCGCTCTACCTCCGCTCTACCCTCGCTCTACCTCCGCTCTACCCCCGCTCTACCCTCGCTCTACCCTCCGCTCTACCCTCGCTCTACCCTCGCTCTACCCCCGCTCTACCCCCGCTCTACCCCCGCTCTACCCCCGCTCTACCCTCGCTCTACCTCCGCTCTACCCCCGCTCTACCTCCGCTCTACCCTCGCTCTACCCTCCGCTCTACCTCCGCTCTACCCTCGCTCTACCCTCCGCTCTACCCCCGCTCTACCCTCGCTCTACCCTCCGCTCTACCGCTCTACCCTCGCTCTACCTCCGCTCTACCCCCGCTCTACCCTCGCTCTACCCTCGCTCTACCTCCGCTCTACCCTCGCTCTACCCTCGCTCTACCCCCGCTCTACCCCCGCTCTACCCTCGCTCTACCCGCCCCCGCTCTACCTCCGCTCTACCCCGCTCTACCCCCGCTCTACCTCCGCTCTACCCTCGCTCTACCCTCCGCTCTACCCCCGCTCTACCCTCCGCTCTACCTCCGCTCTACCCTCGCTCTACCTCCGCTCTACCCTCCGCTCTACTCCTCGCTCTACCTCCGCTCTACCCCGCTCTACCCCGCTCTACCTCCGCTCTACCCCGCTCTACCCCGCTCTACCCTCCGCTCTACCTCCGCTCTACCCTCGCTCTACCCCGCTCTACCCTCGCTCTACCCCGCTCTACCCCGCTCTACCTCCGCTCTACCCCGCTCTACCCCCGCTCTACCCTCCGCTCTACCTCCGCTCTACCCTCCGCTCTACCCTCCGCTCTACCTCCGCTCTACCCCCGCTCTACCCCGCTCTACCTCCGCTCTACCCTCGCTCTACCCTCGCTCTACCTCCGCTCTACCTCCGCTCTACCCCCGCTCTACCCTCGCTCTACCCTCCGCTCTACCCCGCTCTACCTCCGCTCTACCCTCGCTCTACCTCCGCTCTACCCCCGCTCTACCCCTCGCTCTACCCTCGCTCTACCTCCGCTCTACCCTCGCTCTACCCGCTCTACCCCGCTCTACCCCCGCTCTACCCCCGCTCTACCCCGCTCTCCCCGCTCTACCCCGCTCTACCCCGCTCTACCCCGCTCTACCCTCGCTCTACCCTCGCTCTACCCTCCGCTCTACCCCCGCTCTACCTCCGCTCTACCTCGCTCTACCTCCGCTCTACCCCGCTCTACCTCCGCTCTACCCCGCTCTACCCCCGCTCTACCTCCGCTCTACCTCCGCTCTACCCTCGCTCTACCCTCGCTCTACCTCCGCTCTACTCCGCTCTACCTCGCTCTACCCCGCTCTACCCCCGCTCTACCCCCGCTCTACCCCCGCTCTACCCCCGCTCTACCCCCGCTCTACCCCCGCTCTACCCTCCGCTCTACCCCCGCTCTACCCCCGCTCTACCCCCGCTCTACCCCGCTCTACCTCGCTCTACCCCCGCTCTACCCTCGCTCTACCTCCGCTCTACCCTCGCTCTACCTCCGCTCTACCCTCGCTCTACCTCCGCTCTACCCTCGCTCTACCTCCGCTCTACCCCCGCTCTACCCTCGCTCTACCCTCCGCTCTACCCCCGCTCTACCCCTCCGCTCTACCCCGCTCTACCCCGCTCTACCCTCGCTCTACCCTCGCTCTACCCCCGCTCTACCCCCGCTCTACCCCGCTCTACCCCCCGCTCTACCCCCGCTCTACCCCGCTCTACCCCCGCTCTACCCCGCTCTACCCCCGCTCTACCCCCGCTCTACCCCCGCTCTACCCCCGCTCTACCTCCGCTCTACCCCCGCTCTACCTCCGCTCTACCCCCGCTCTACCCCCGCTCTACCCTCGCTCTACCCTCGCTCTACCCCCGCTCTACCTCCGCTCTACCTCCGCTCTACCCTCGCTCTACCTCTCGCTCTACCTCCGCTCTACCCCGCTCTACCCCGCTCTACCCCCGCTCTACCCCGCTCTACCCCCGCTCTACCCCGCTCTACCCTCGCTCTACCCCCGCTCTACCCCGCTCTACCCCCGCTCTACCCTCCGCTCTACCCCGCTCTACCCCCGCTCTACCTCCGCTCTACCCTCGCTCTACCTCGCTCTACCTCCGCTCTACCCCCGCTCTACCCCCGCTCGCTCCGCTCTACCCGCTCTAACCCCGCTCTAACCTCCGCTCTACCCCCGCTCTAACCCCCGCTCTACCCTCCGCTCTAAAACCCCGCTCTACCCCGCTCTACCCCCGCTCTACCCCCGCTCTACCCTCGCTCTACCCCCGCTCTAACCTCCGCTCTACCCCCGCTCTACCACCGCTCTACCCCCGCTACCTCCGCTCTACCCTCCGCTCTACCCTCCGCTCTACCCCCGCTCTACCCTCGCTCTACCCGCTCTACCTCCGCTCTACCCTCGCTCTACCCTCGCTCTACCCCGCTCTACCCTCGCTCTACCTCCGCTCTACCCTCGCTCTACCCCCGCTCTACCACCGCTCTACCCCTCGCTCTACCCCGCCGCTCTACCTCCGCTCTACCCTCGCTCTACCCCCGCTCTACCTCCGCTCTACCCCCGCTCTACCCCGCTCTACCCCCGCTCTACCCCCGCTCTACCCCGCTCTACCCGCGCTCTACCCCCGCTCTACCCTCGCTCTACCCCCGCTCTACCCCCGCTCTACCCCCGCTCTACCCCCGCTCTACCCTCGCTCTACCTCCGCTCTCTACCTCCGCTCTACCCCCGCTCTACCCCGCTCTACCCCGCTATACCCCCGCTCTACCCTCGCTCTACCCCCGCTCTAACTCCGCTCTACCCTCGCTCTACCCCCGCTCTACCCCTGCTCTACCCCCGCTCTAAACCTCCGCTCTGACTCACCCCGCTCTACCCCCGCTCTACCCCCGCTCTACCCCCGCTCTACCCCCGCTCTACCCCTCTACCCCCGCTCTACCTCCGCTCTACCCCCGCTCTACCCCCTGCTCTACCCCCGCTCTACCCTCGCTCTACCCCCGCTCTACCCCCGCTCTACCCCCGCTCTACCCCCGCTCTACCCCGCTCTACCCCCGCTCTACCCCGCTCTACGCTCTACCCCGCTCTACCTCCGCTCTACCCCCGCTCTACCCCCGCTCTACCCCCGCTCTACCCCCGCTCTACCCCTGCTCTACCCCTGCTCTACCCCGCTCTACCCCCGCTCTACCCCCGCTCTACCCCCGCTCTACCCCCGCTCTACCCTCGCTCTACCCTCGCTCTACCTCCGCTCTACCCCCGCTCTACCCCTGCTCTACCCCTGCTCTACCCCCGCTCTACCCCCGCTCTACCCTCGCTCTACCCTCGCTCTACCTCCGCTCTACCCCCGCTCTACCCCCGCTCTACCTCCGCTCTACCTCCGCTCTACCCGCGCTCTACCCCCGCTCTACCTCCGCTCTACCCCTGCTCTACCTCCGCTCTACCTCCGCTCTACCTCCGCTCTCACTTTATCCACCGCTAGATTTACTGCGGGTTAATGAAACGGAATAACATCAGCATCAGGACGTTTGATATATTATACATTAAGTTAACCGAGAGAGAGAGGGAGAGAGAGAGACCAGAGGGAGGGAGAGAGAGGGAGGGAGAGAGAGGGAGGGAGAGGGAGAGGGAGAGAGACCAGAGGGAGGGAGAGAGAGGGAGGGAGGGAGAGAGACCAGAGGGAGGGAGAGGGAGGGAGGGAGGGAGAGAGACCAGAGGGAGAGAGAGAGACCAGAGGGAGGGAGAGAGACCAGAGGGAGGGAGAGAGGCCAGAGGGAGGGAGAGAGACCAGAGGGAGAGAGAGAGACCAGAGGGAGGGAGAGAGACCAGAGGGAGGGAGAGGGAGAGGGAGAGAGAGAGAGAGAGAGAGAGAGAGCTCTTTTATGGAGCCTATAACTCTAATGTAGCTGTAAGTGTGAAGCTGAAGCCGGGGCCAGACCTGAGCTCACTGCGGAGCCTTTGGAAACACATGTGAAGACCCGGAACGTTCTAATGTGTTCCTCCTGCTGCTGCGATCCTCCTGAGATACATTTATATTATATAAAATACATACATTATATAAAATACAAACATTATACTGTATATATTACAAACGAGTGCAGTCTGTGTGAAGGCTCCGCTGAGGCAGAAGGTTTTATGGTTCTTACTTTCTACAACATGTGACGTCACAGGCTGCAGTGAGCTCAGGCCTCACAGCTCTGTGAGAGGGAGGAGTCTAGCGCCACCTGGTGTCTCCTGCACACACAGGCCGACAGTCTGCAGTGAGAGTCTATACACAGTTCCCAGAGTGTCAAATAGTGACTCATAGGGATATTTTATTTTAGAGTAAGAAAGTAAGAAAAAGATACTTTATAACATGCCGTGCATCTGTGCAATCATTTGAGTAATGTCAGAATGTGAAATATAGAACCATGTGTCACTGTAGCTTTAGCTTAGCCACTGTAGCTTAGCCACCTCTACTCTATTTTTTATTTTATTTTAGTTATTCATTCATTTGACAAGGACAGTGCAATCTTACATACTGTAGCTGCATTAGGAAAGATGCAGAGTGTGAAGCTAATGCTAATGCTAATGGTCACCTCCTGTCCCGGGTCGAGCTTTTCCCCACAGTGCAACACATCCAACAGAATGAATGGAATAGGCAATAAAACAGTGATCTAAGATGAAACACATTCCCAAAGACGGCCATGCGGACCACACAGCCTCAGTCCTGGGTCTACAGCCTTAATCCTGGGTCTACAGCCTCAGTCCTGGGTCTACAGCCTCAGTCCTGGGTCTACGGCCTCAGTCCTGGGTCTACAGCCTTAATCCTGGGTCTACAGCCTCAGTCCTGGGTCTACAGCCTCAGTCCTGGGTCTACAGCCTCAGTCCTGGGTCTACAGCCTTAATCCTGGGTCTACAGCCTCAGTCCTGGGTCTACAGCCTCAGTCCTGGGTCTACGGCCTCAGTCCTGGGTCTACAGCCTCAGTCCTGGGTCTACAGCCTCGGTCCTGGGTCTACAGCCTCAGTCCTGGGTCTACAGCCTCAGTCCTGGGTCTACAGTCTCAGTCCTGGGTCTACAGCCTCAGTCCTGGGTCTACAGTCTCAGTCCTGGGTCTATAGTCTCAGTCCTGGGTCTACAGCGTCAGTCCTGGGTCTACAGCCTCAGTCCTGGGTCTACAGCCTCAGTCCTGGGTCTACAGCCTCAGTCCTGGGTCTACAGCCTCAGTCCTGGGTCTACAGTCTCAGTCCTGGGTCTATAGTCTCAGTCCTGGGTCTACAGCCTCAGTCCTGGGTCTATAGTCTCAGTCCTGGGTCTACAGCGTCAGTCCTGGGTCTACAGCCTCAGTCCTGGGTCTACAGCCTCAGTCCTGGGTCTACAGTCTCAGTCCTGGGTCTATAGTCTCAGTCCTGGGTCTACAGCCTCAGTCCTGGGTCTACAGCGTCAGTCCTGGGTCTACAGCGTCAGTCCTGGGTCTACAGCCTCAGTCCTGGGTCTACAGCCTCAGTCCTGGGTCTACAGCCTCAGTCCTGGGTCTACAGCCTCAGTCCTGGGTCTACAGCGTCAGTCCTGGGTCTACAGCCTCAGTCCTGGGTCTACAGCCTCAGTCCTGGGTCTACAGCCTCAGTCCTGGGTCTACAGCGTCAGTCCTGGGTAGCTAATTAGTTATAAATGAGTTATGTTGATCCCTCTCCATGTGTTGTGTTTATTCCAATCAATGTTACTCATGAGTCTGATTAATAATAACAATAAACATAACGACGCTAGGTCCATAACGCAGCCTCCTCATAAACTCATAATAAACAGTTCCCTCTCGTGGCCACCAGGGGGCCTCAGTCCTCAGTCTGCTCCTCTTCTTCCTCTTTCCTCACTTAAACAGAGTTGAGTTCATTAAAAGTGTCTGTGACCTCCACAGAGTCAGAGGGAAACAGCTGCGCCATAAACTCTTTACAGCGGCACCTCACTTTTTATTTGGCCAAAGTGCGACGCGTAAATCACAGAGATAAAGTTAAACGTCAGAGGTTTGAGCGACAGGACTCTTTCTCTGGAACTTTCTCTGGAACTTTCTCTGGAACTTTCTCTGGAACTTTCTCTGGAACTTTCTCTAGAACTTTCTCTGGAACTTTCGCTGGAACTTTCTCTGGAACTTTCTCTGGAACTTTCTCTGGAACTTTCTCTGGAACTTTCGCTGGAACTTTCTCTGGAACTTTCTCTGGAACTTTCTCTGGAACTTTCTCTGGAACTTTCTCTGGAACTTTCTCTGGAACTTTCTCTGGAACTTTCTCTGGAACTTTCTCTGGAACTTTCTCTGGAACTTTCTCTGGAACTTTCTCTGGAACTTTCTCTAGAACTTTCTCTGGAACTTTCGCTGGAACTTTCTCTGGAACTTTCTCTGGAACTTTCTCTAGAACTTTCTCTGGAACTTTCTCAGGAACTTTCTCTAGAACTTTCTCAGGAACTTTCTCAGGAACTTTCTCAGGAACTTTCTCAGGAACTTTCTCTGGAACTTTCTCTAGAACTTTCTCTGGAACTTTCTCTGGAACTTTCTCTGGAACTTTCTCTGGAACTTTCTCTGGAACTTTCTCTGGAACTTTCTCTGGAACTTTCTCTGGAACTTTCTCTGGAACTTTCTCTGGAACTTTCTCTGGAACTTTCGCTGGAACTTTCTCTGGAACTTTCTCTGGAACTTTCTCTAGAACTTTCTCTGGAACTTTCTCAGGAACTTTCTCTAGAACTTTCTCAGGAACTTTCTCAGGAACTTTCTCAGGAACTTTCTCAGGAACTTTCTCTGGAACTTTCTCTAGAACTTTCTCTGGAACTTTCTCTGGAACTTTCTCTGGAACTTTCTCTGGAACTTTCTCTAGAACTTTCTCAGGAACTTTCTCTGGAACTTTCTCTGGAACTTTCTCAGGAACTTTCTCAGGAACTTTCTCTGGAACTTTCTCTAGAACTTTCTCTGGAACTTTCTCTGGAACTTTCTCTGGAACTTTCTCTGGAACTTTCTCTGGAACTTTCTCTGGAACTTTCTCTAGAACTTTCTCTGGAACTTTCGCTGGAACTTTCTCTGGAACTTTCTCTGGAACTTTCTCAGGAACTTTCTCAGGAACTTTCTCTGGAACTTTCTCTAGAACTTTCTCTGGAACTTTCGCTGGAACTTTCTCTGGAACTTTCTCTGGAACTTTCTCTGGAACTTTCTCTGGAACTTTCGCTGGAACTTTCTCTGGAACTTTCTCTGGAACTTTCTCTGGAACTTTCTCTGGAACTTTCTCTGGAACTTTCTCTGGAACTTTCTCTGGAACTTTCTCTGGAACTTTCTCTGGAACTTTCTCTGGAACTTTCTCTGGAACTTTCTCTGGAACTTTCTCTAGAACTTTCTCTGGAACTTTCGCTGGAACTTTCTCTGGAACTTTCTCTGGAACTTTCTCTAGAACTTTCTCTGGAACTTTCTCAGGAACTTTCTCTAGAACTTTCTCAGGAACTTTCTCAGGAACTTTCTCAGGAACTTTCTCAGGAACTTTCTCTGGAACTTTCTCTAGAACTTTCTCTGGAACTTTCTCTGGAACTTTCTCTGGAACTTTCTCTGGAACTTTCTCTGGAACTTTCTCTGGAACTTTCTCTGGAACTTTCTCTGGAACTTTCTCTGGAACTTTCTCTGGAACTTTCTCTGGAACTTTCGCTGGAACTTTCTCTGGAACTTTCTCTGGAACTTTCTCTAGAACTTTCTCTGGAACTTTCTCAGGAACTTTCTCTAGAACTTTCTCAGGAACTTTCTCAGGAACTTTCTCAGGAACTTTCTCAGGAACTTTCTCTGGAACTTTCTCTAGAACTTTCTCTGGAACTTTCTCTGGAACTTTCTCTGGAACTTTCTCTGGAACTTTCTCTAGAACTTTCTCAGGAACTTTCTCTGGAACTTTCTCTGGAACTTTCTCAGGAACTTTCTCAGGAACTTTCTCTGGAACTTTCTCTAGAACTTTCTCTGGAACTTTCTCTGGAACTTTCTCTGGAACTTTCTCTGGAACTTTCTCTGGAACTTTCTCTGGAACTTTCTCTGGAACTTTCTCTGGGACTTTCTCTGGAACTTTCTCTGGGACTTTCTCTCTGGATGCAGCTCCTCAGGATCAGGGCCTAAACAAGTCAATGTAAAACTAATGAATAACTACGAATATAACTGTTCCCATTGAAATGAACGTTCACCGTGTCTTCTCTGGTGTGTAGCGTCTTCTCTGGTGTGTAGTGTCTTCTCTGGTGTGTAGTGTCTTCTCTGGTGTGTAGTGTCTTCTCTGGTGTGTAGCGTCTTCTCTGGTGTGTAGTGTCTTCTCTGGTGTGTAGCGTCTTCTCTGGTGTGTAGTGTCTTCTCTGGTGTGTAGCGTCTTCTCTGGTGTGTAGCGTCTTCTCTGGTGTGTAGTGTCTTCTCTGGTGTGTAGCGTCTTCTCTGGTGTGTAGTGTCTTCTCTGGTGTGTAGCGTCTTCTCTGGTGTGTAGCGTCTTCTCTGGTGTGTAGCGTCTTCTCTGGTGTGTAGCGTCTTCTCTGGTGTGTAGCGTCTTCTCTCTGATTCTCTGATCTGTGTTGGAGAATCGACAGCTTTGTGAAGTCCTCAGAGATAACTACTGTTGTGATTTAGGGCGACACATACAGTAAATACATTGATTGTGTTTCCACCGCAGGAGTTCCTGGTTAAATGAGGAGGTGGGACCTCCTCCTGTCAATCATTGGACAGCAGCAAGACTCACAGACATTTACAATCACAACGTTTTCAGGAAAGGCCCAGATCTGCACAGACAGATGTCTCACTCTGCTCCCATCAGGGCGTAGGTTCAGGTCCCTCCCATTCAAAACAGAAAGGGTCACATCCAGCTTCCTCCCGCCTCGAGTCGCCTTTGAACAGCTGACCCGAGACCTGTTGTGTGTATTTAATGTTGCATTTCTGCTTAGATCGTCTGCTTCTGTTCTTCTGTGTACCCTCACCGGTGCTCCGTCTGTAAGTGAAGTTCCTCACGGATTAATAAAGTTATTTATTTGAATCTACAGGAACCCCCTCAGCCTCAGTGTCTCCGCTGCAGTAGGACCTGTTCTGTGTTCGTCTGTGTGTGTCTGTTTGTGTTCTGTGTGTGTCTGTTTGTGTTCTGTGTGTGTCTGTTTGTGTTCTGTGTGTGTCTGTTTGTGTTCTGTGTGTGTTTGTTTGTGTTCTGTGTGTGTGTTTGTGTTCTGTGTGTGTCTATTTGTGTTCTGTGTGTGTGTTTGTGTTCTGTGTGTGTGTTTGTGTTCTGTGTGTGTCTGTTTGTGTTCTGTGTGTGTGTTTGTGTTCTGTGTGTGTCTGTTTGTGTTCTGTGTGTGTCTGTTTGTGTTCTGTGTGTGTATTTGTGTTTTGTGTGTGTCTGTTTGTGTTCTGTGTGTGTCTGTTTGTGTTCTGTGTGTGTGTTTGTGTTCTGTGTGTGTCTGTTTGTGTTCTGTGTGTGTCTGTTTGTGTTCTGTGTGTGTATTTGTGTTTTGTGTGTGTCTGTTTGTGTTCTGTGTGTGTCTGTTTGTGTTCTGTGTGTGTGTTTGTGTTCTGTGTGTGTCTGTTTGTGTTCTGTGTGTGTCTGTTTGTGTTCTGTGTGTGTGTTTGTGTTCTGTGTGTGTCTGTGTTCTGTGTGTGTCTGTTTGTGTTCTGTGTGTGTATTTGTGTTTTGTGTGTGTCTGTTTGTGTTCTGTGTGTGTCTGTTTGTGTTCTGTGTGTGTCTCCTCATGATTCACCACACCATTCTTTTATCACGCCTACAACACCTCGGCCTCTCTGGTGCTGTCCACAAATGGTTCACTTCTTATTTAACAGACAGATCCTTCATGGTAAGTTTGGATACCTGCTCCTCTCAGGTCCATAAAATCACATGTGGTGTGCCCCAGGGTTCCATTTTAGGTCCAGTCCTTTTTAACCTGTACATGCTCCCTCTTGGCGGTGTCATCAGGAGACATGGAATTAACTTCCACAGTTATGCAGATGATACTCAGCTGTACATCTCCATGTCTCCTGATGATACACAGCTGTACATCTCCTGATGATACACAGCTGTACATCTCCTGATGATACACAGCTGTACATCTCCATGTCTCTGATGATACACAGCTGTACATCTCCTGATGATACTCAGCTGTACATCTCCTGATGATACACAGCTGTACATCTCCTGATGATACACAGCTGTACATCTCCATGTCTCTGATGATACACAGCTGTACATCTCCTGATGATACACAGCTGTACATCTCCTGATGATACACAGCTGTACATCTCCATGTCTCTGATGATACACAGCTGTACATCTCCTGATGATACTCAGCTGTACATCTCCTGATGATACACAGCTGTACATCTCCAGATGATACACAGCTGTACATCTCCATGTCTCCTGATGACACCAGGCCAATGGATGCTCTTTTTAACTGCATTTTAGACCTGAAATCCTGGATGGCAGAAAACTTTCTCCAGCTTAACCAGGACAAAACTGAGGTTTTAGTCATCGGTCCTGAGGCCCAGAGAGAGAAACTTTTACCGAAACTCCAATCACACTCTTTTAATCCATCATCACAAGTGAGAAACCTGGGCGTAATTTTTGACTCTGAGCTGACTTTTATTCCTCACATTAAGAATATAACAAAAATAGGTTTTTATCATTTGAAGAACATCGCCAGAGTCCGCCCCATTCTCTCTCGGGGCAACACAGAGACGCTGATGCTTTTATCACCAGTCGCATTGACTATTGTAATGCCCTGCTCTCTGGTCTTCCCAAAAAGAACATTGCAAGTCTTCAATTACTCCAAAACTCAGCAGCACGTGTCCTGACTAAGACCAGGGGGCGTGTCCTGACTAAGACCAGGGGGCGTGTCCTGACTAAGACCAGGGGGCGGGACCACATTACACCGGTTTTAAAATCGCTGCATTGGCTCCCCGTGTGTTTCAGGATTGATTTTAAGGTTCTTTTAATGGTTTTCAAATGTCTTAATGGTCTTGGGCCTTCTTATCTTTCAGAACTGCTTTTATCCTATGAACCTTCCCGGCCCCTGCGCTCCTCCGGCAGCAGACTCCTAACCATCCCCAAAGTCAGGACACACACTCACGGCGAGGCATCTTTCCAGCACAACGGCCCCCGTCTCTGGAACAGTCTGCCGGAGGAGCTCAGGGCCGCAGAGAACGTTCATATTTTTAAAGCCAGGCTCAAGACACACCTTTTTAGATTAGCTTTTGATTAGTATTTATTAGTCCATTTTTATATATTCTATTTATCTTTTATTATTTATGATATTGCTATTGCTTTTATTCATGTCTTGTGTGATAGTTCCTTTCAGGCTCACATGTTTTACTTATTGTATTGTTTTTAGTATCCCCAGTGTTTCCTCTGGAGGAGCCCTCTGCGCTGGGAGCGGTGGTTGGCTGTGGCTGTGGGGGTCGGACTCTTGGACCTGGTGGGGGCCCGGGGCCTCGGTTTTGGGTCCCCTCTGGGTCCTGTGTCGTCCCCTTTGGCTATGGGCGGCTCTCTGCTCCTGGCGCTGACGGCTCCTTGGATGGCGTTTCTTCAGCCGGTTGCATCTGAACCCTGCCAAGTCTCTTATCATCGTTTTATTGTTTTGCGGTCGGGGGGAGGGCATGGGCAGGATTGTTTTTTAGCCAAACTGTAAAGCACTTTGTGTTGCATCTGTTCAATGAAAAGCGCTTTATAAATAAACTTTGATTGATTGATTGTGTATCGTTTGTTGAAGAATGTGTGACTGAATGTTTTCTTGTCTTGTTCTTGTAAATATTGTAAATATCTCACATTATTTTAACTGTGAAGCAAACATGTTTTGATCTTTCAGGAGACACGGGACGACAGATGAAAAATAGCTGCTTTGCTAATTCTGGTATATTTACAGAAAGGTTCATTAATATGCACTGTCGCTGTAGTAAATATATAAATAAATATGACGTTACGAGTTTGGATCGCTGCATAAGCCAAACTCATTTGTTTATTTTACAATCTGAACTGCTCCGGTTGTAGTGGTCTTGAGGTTTTTTATTCTATTTTTATTTTTTTTTAGTATTTTGTGAGCCACCAGTTGTACCAGATCCCCCACTACAAAAAGATGAGGGAGGCCTGTAATCTATAGATAAACCTCAACTATGAAGAGACAGAATGAGAAGAATTTATTTGCAAATGATGGTGGAAAATAAGTTATTGTTCACCTCCAAACCCTCAGACTGTACCTCCTTCTTTAAGAGGCTCCTCGGTCCTCCACTCGGTCCAACTGTTCGAGCTCTGTCATGAAAGACACAACCAGGCACACTCCAAACTCCACTATGGCCAAAGAGCTGTCAAAGGACACCAGAAACAACCGTTTCTGGTGTCCTTTGACACTATTTGAAATGTTCACCCCCTTAGTAACTAACAAGTCTAGAGTATGCCCTCTGGTGTGGGTGGGGCCACTTACGTGCTGAGTGAGATCAAAGGATTCAAGTAAAGAACTCAGCTCATTTGCATTTCTGTCATCAACATTATCCACATGAATATTAAAATCACCTGTAATAACTAAACTATCAAAATCTGTGCATACAACTGAAAGCAACTCGGTAAAATTATCAATAAAACTGTGACATGACTGCGGTGGCTTGTATAGAACTATGAAGAGTATTGGAGGAGATTGTTTTTGTTGTATTTTAAAAGACACATATTCAAATGACGAAAACTTCCCAAGAGACATTCTATGGGAGACAAAGTGGTCTCTGAAAATGGCAGCTAAGCCTCCTCCTTTTTTGTTTTCCCGTATTTCAGATTCAAATTTGAAATTTGGTGGTGATGCTTCTATTAAAACTGCATTTCCTGAATTTTGGTCAAGCCAAGTTTCAGCCATGAACATAAGATCTAGATTATAAGAACAAATAAAATTATTGATTAAAAAAGACTTGTTACAAAGAGATCTGACATTTAGCGTAGCAAGTTTCAAAGTTTCAGTATCAGCGGTTGTGGTCGGCTGATTCTTACACGGAACAAGAATTAGATTTTCCAGATTAGACTGATTAACTCCAGATGTTTTTCTGTAATGTATTCTTTGTGTTATCACTAAGGGAATGGCACAGGTGGCTTCATGACAGGGCCCCAGCCGGGTCTCTCCTCTAACTAGACTGCCAGTGGCTGCGAAGCAGAGACCCTGTGCATCCTAGTGTTTAGAGAAAAGAGGGGAAGGGGAAGGCGGGGGAGGAGGATGGAGAGGTGGGTGTACCTGTGAAAACCTGCAACACAGGAGGACATGGAGTGAAGTTTCACTTTCAAACAAACACGTTCATTGTGTATTTGCTACAACTTTATTGAAAAAATACTTTAGTGTCCTGTGGTCTGCACAGCATGGAACACGGTTTACACAAGATGAAAGTCAAACCAAGCAGGAAACACACAGAGACATGAAGGACGTCTGTGTCCCACTGTGTCTTTGGTTTCACTTCAACAGAAGATCAGAAAAATGATTAAATTCAAACGTTAAAATCCAGAAAAGCAAGATGGCGTCGCTTCATGCAGTGTGATTGTTTCTGCTAAAATAGGTCTAATAAAAATAGGATACAAATGTCATAAAATAGGAAACTACTGTAGCAAACGTTCTCTTCAGCTGAAAAAAATAATTCATTTCACTCTTTGACACAAAACTTAGGTCTGTGATAAACCAGGACAATGTTGGCCACAGAGACAGAAACATGTGCGTCTGTGTGTGTGTGTGTACTGCTAACAGAGGTCCCCAGTCTGTGTGTGTGTGTCTACTGCTAACAGAGGTCCCCAGTCTGTGTGTGTGTGTGTCTACTGCTAACAGAGGTCCCCAGTCTGTGTGTGTGTCTACTGCTAACAGAGGTCCCCAGTCTGTGTGTGTGTGTGTGTCTACTGCTAACAGAGGTCCCCAGTCTGTGTGTGTGTGTCTACTGCTAAGAGAGGTCCCCAGTCTGTGTGTGTGTGTCTACTGCTAACAGAGGTCTCCAGTGTGTGTGTGTGTCTACTGCTAACAGAGGTCCCCAGTCTGTGTGTGTGTGTGTCTACTGCTAACAGAGGTCCCCAGTCTGTGTGTGTGTCTACTTCTAGCAGAGGTTCCCAGTCTGTGTGTGTGTGTACTGCTAACAGAGGTCTCCAGTCTGTGTGTGTGTGTCTACTGCTAAGAGAGGTCCCCAGTCTGTGTGTGTGTCTACTGCTAACAGAGGTCTCCAGTGTGTGTGTGTGTCTACTGCTAAGAGAAGTCCCCAGTCTGTGTGTGTGTCTACTTCTAGCAGAGGTTCCCAGTCTGTGTGTGTGTCTACTGCTAACAGAGGTCTCCAGTCTGTGTGTGTGTCTACTGCTAACAGAGGTCTCCAGTCTGTGTGTGTGTCTACTGCTAACAGAGGTCTCCAGTCTGTGTGTGTGTCTACTGCTAACAGAGGTTCCCAGTCTGTGTGTGTGTGTACTGCTAACAGAGGTCTCCAGTCTGTGTGTGTGTCTACTGCTAACAGAGGTCTCCAGTCTGTGTGTGTGTGTACTGCAAACAGAGGTCTCCAGTGTGTGTGTGTCTACTGCTAACAGAGGTCTCCAGTGTGTGTGTGTCTACTGCTAACAGAGGTCTCCAGTGTGTGTGTGTCTACTGCTAACAGAGGTCTCCAGTCTGTGTGTGTGTGTCTACTGCTAACAGAGGTCTCCAGTGTGTGTGTGTCTACTGCTAACAGAGGTCTCCAGTGTGTGTGTGTCTACTGCTGTCTGTGTGTGTGTGTGTGTCTACTGCTAACAGAGGTCTCCAGTGTGTGTGTGTGTGTGTGTGTGTGTGTGTGTGTGTGTGTGTGCGCGTGTGTCTACTGCTAACAGAGGTTCCCAGTCTGTGTGTGTGTGTACTGCTAACAGAGGTCTCCAGTCTGTGTGTGTGTCTTCTGCTAACAGAGGTCCCCAGTCTGTGTGTGTGTCTACTGCTAACAGAGGTCCCCAGTCTGTGTGTGTGTGTCTTCTGCTAACAGAGGTCTCCAGTGTGTGTGTGTGTGTGTCTTCTGCTAACAGAGGTCTCCAGTGTGTGTGTGTGTGTGTGTGTGTGCGCGTGTGTCTACTGCCAACAGAGGTCTCCAGTCTGTGTGTGTGTGTCTTCTGCTGACAAAGGTCTCCAGTCTGTGTGTGTGTCTACTGCTAACAGAGGTCCCCAGTCTGTGTGTGTGTGTGTCTACTGCTAACAGAGGTCTCCAGTCTGTGTGTGTGTGTGTACTGCTAACAGAGGTCTCCAGTCTGTGTGTGTGTGTGTACTGCTAACAGTACTGCTAACAGAGGTCTCCCATCACAGAGAGGTCTCACTAAACAAGGCAAAAGAACATCTATCTGCAACACTTCTAAAGTGCACTAGAACAGAGTAGACTTGCTCTAAAGGATCTGTTTATATAAATATACTCCTTACGGCACATGTACAAGGCTAAATAACATGCTAAATATTAGCTGTTCCACTTATACCTTTAGTCGTCGTTATGTAGACGAGAGAAAGCACTGGACACTATGTACAGGTTAGAGTCAGAGAATCACACTCAGTTTAAACTTAATCACAATCTGTCAACACTACAGGAATAATCCAGTAGATTATAATCGTGTGATCAGAAACATGGACAGATCTGCTGCAGCCTCACCTCATGTGACTGAACATGTGAGGGATTTGAATAAGGCCAATGTAGCTCAACAAGGGACAAACCATAATTAAGGCACACTATTGCATTACATTCAGGCTCCTGAAAACCAAATACACCAAATCAAAGAACAGAAAATCACCTCCAGAGGAACTAAACACTTCTGTCCTTGAGACGAGTGGAAATGTTCAGGATCATTCAGAAAGTTCATTTCAAAACTCCTCCTGTTTTGTAAATCAACATTGTGCCTTTGGACAGAGCACTGTGAGAGGAAAGTATGAGTACTCTGCATGTGCTTCTATCTGTTCAGACCTGGTGCAGTCCTGGTGCAGTCCTGGTGCAGACCTGGTGCAGTCCTGGTGCAGTCCTGGTGCAGTCCTGGTGCAGTCCTGGTGCAGTCCTGGTGCAGTCCTGGTGCAGACCTGGTGCAGTCCTGGTGCAGTCCTGGTGCAGTCCTGGTGCAGTCCTGGTGCAGACCTGGTGCAGTCCTGGTGCAGTCCAGGTGCAGTCCTGGTGCAGTCCAAGTCCAGTTCAGCTTTGGGACTGACACAAAGGTAGTTCCTGGATGTTGCTGACGCTCTGCAGGTTGGCACATAGTAGAAGGTAAACAAAAGTGACTGAAGCATATGTGTTTATACGTGTGTGTGTGTGTGTGTGTGTGTGTGTGTGTGTGTGTGTGTGTGATCAGCTGTTGTGGCCGTGGCGTCTCATGTACAGACCACAGGAGGAGCAGAAGCAGCTCCTCGGCTCTGAGGGCAGGTGTCGACACAGAGAGCACAGAGAGCTCCTACGCTGAGGCTGAGGATGATGAAGAGGGAGAAGATGATGAAGAGGCTGAGGCTGGTGCTGAGGACGATGCTGATGAAGAGGCTGATGATGAGGATGATGAAGAGGCGGAGGATGATGAAGTGGCTGATGTTGAGGATGAGGCAGACGTGGAGAGGGGCCTGGTCGTTCGTGACGGCGCCAGTCCTCGTCTGGGGGGACGTCCAGGCGGCGGGGCTGGGCCTCTCCTGAGCCTCTGGAGCTGTGGGAGTGAGAGCTGCCATTTAGGGCCCCGTTAAACGATGCTTGTGTGTAGTGAGAGCCGCTGTAAGAGCCGCTGTGAGAGCCCCCGTGAGAGCCGCCGTGAGAGCCGCCGTGAGAGCCGCCGTGAGAGCCGCTGTGAGAGCCCCCGTGAGAGCCGCCGTGAGAGCCGCTGTGAGAGCCGCTGTGAGAGCCCCCGTGAGAGCCGCCGTGAGAGCCACCGTGAGAGCCGCCGTGAGAGCCGCTGTGAGAGCCCCCGTGAGAGCCGCCGTGAGAGCCGCCGTGAGAGCCGCTGTGAGAGCCGCTGTGAGAGCCCCCGTGAGAGCCGCCGTGAGAGCCACCGTGAGAGCCACCGTGAGAGCCGCCGTGAGAGCCACCGTGAGAGCCGCTGTGAGAGCCGCCGTGAGAGCCGCCGTGAGAGCCGCCGTGAGAGCCGCTGTGAGAGCCCCCGTGAGAGCCGCCGTGAGAGCCACCGTGAGAGCCACCGTGAGAGCTGTCTGGGTGGGACAGGGTGGCGTACAGTCCTTGTGGAGCCCTAGCCAGACCACTGGTGCTGGTCCTGGGCCTGGACAGAGACCGGGACAGGGACAGGGACCGGGTGGGGGATGGAGGAGGTCTCCTTGGGGCTCGGGGCAGTGTGCTGTAGTTCAATGCAGAGCTGTGAAGGCCTTCTCCTGGGACGGTCTGGTACCAGTCAGACACAGCCACAGACGCCTTCTGCTGCAGAGACGCTCCAGAACCTGCAGAGACCATAGAGTCACTTTACTCATCTGTGCAATAATCATCTGAATCATTTCAGAATGTGCAATACACAACCACGTGTGTCACTGCCTGAGTCTCAGAGCCTCTTGCTGCTAACATGCTAACATATACAGATGGAAACATACTAAATCTTCTTTATCATAGTAAAGTTACAGAGTTATTGTTCACTTCTCATTTTGAAGGTTACGTATATAACTACGGTTCTATGAATCCCAGATGACCGTCAGAGGGTGGTGCATAGCACTGGATGTTCCCTTCATGGGCAGTTCCAGAAGTAATACCAAATGAGTGACCTGTGACCCCTGGATAACGCCCAGAGGTAAAATAGTCCAGCGTCATCCATCACTCTGTTCCTACAGAAGCGCCTGAGTGACAGAGGGCGCTGCAGAGCACTGAATGACCTTATACCAGCTCTGTCATGAAGAATCCTGACCACCTCCTCACAGAAGAGAGACAGAGGATCTCTGAAGGACCACACCAAGAGGAGCTGGAGTGGCCACGTTGACATTAGAATCTGGTGAACGTAGGGGGGCGCTGGTGAGCGTAGCCATGTGAGGACGTGTTTTACAGCGCTCCGTGGCGGGGCACATGTTTTTCATTATCTAATAGCTTCAACACTCGTTAAAACTCTTTTGGGCTGAAGGAACATGTCAGTGAACTATATGGACGTTATTTTCTGAAAGTTTGCAACTTTGACGGCGAGAAAAATGACCAAAAGAAGTGGTAAAGAGCCACGAAAGCCTCGAGCTCGGAGTCCCTGCTGCTGGGGCCGCAACCTCCGGACATGACAGTGGTGATGGAAGCTATTGCTAGCTCAGAGCAGAAGATTCTATCACGTATCGACTCGAGCACGAAGGATTTAAATGACAAGATAGGATCCATAAAGTCGGACCTGGTGAGCCAAGATGTCCGTCTCCAAGAAGTAGAGTCGGGGTTAAGCGAATATTCTGATCGGAAAGTGGAGGAGCAGAGTTAGTCAGCTGAAGCTATAGGTGGCTAAGCTAACTCAAAAGATAGATGACTTGGAAGGACGACAACGTCGATGTAATGCTCGCATTATTGGAGTGAAAGAAGCTTGGAAACGTCCGGTAAACCCACAGAAGTGATTGCCACTATGCTGAAAGAGCTACTGAGTCTCGAATTTGTCCCGACATTTGACCGTGCACACCGCAGCCTGAAGATGGAGACCTGCCCAGGGCGATTGTGGTGAAATTTCACTACTTTCAAGAAAAGGAGCAAGTATTCTGGAGGGCAAGTTCTGCACCAATGTTTCTACAGGGCAAGAAGATAAGTATCTTTCCCGACTACACCTCTGATGGAGCCAAGAAACCAGCTGCCTTTTCGGAGGTTAAGCGGCTTCTCCGGAGCTGCACAGACGTCAGATTTGGGCTTGTTTACCCTGCAACACTCTGCAACACTCTGCAACACTCTGCAACACTCTGCAACACTCTGCAACACTCTGCAACACTCTGCAACACTCTGCAACACTCTGCAACACTCTGCAACACTCTGCATTACTCTGCAACACTCTGCAACACTCTGCAACACTCTGCATTACTCTGCAACACTCTGCAACACTCTGCATTACTCTGCAACACTCTGCAACACTCTGCAACACTCGGCAACACTCGGCAACACTCTGCAACACTCTGCAACACTCTGCAGCACTCTGCAACACCCTGCAACACTCTGCAACACTCTGCAACACTCTGCAACACTCTGCAACACTCTGCAGCACTCTGCAACACCCTGCAACACTCTGCAACACTCTGCAACACTGCAACACTCTGCAACACTCTGCAACACTCTGCAACACTCTGCAACACTCTGCAACACTCTGCAACACTCCACATTACTCTGCAACACTCCGCAACACTCTGCAACACTCTGCAACACTCCGCAACACTCCGCAACACTCCGCAACACTCCGCAACACTCTGCAGCACTCTGCAACACTCTGCAACACTCTGCAGCACTCTGCAACACTCTGCAACACTCTGCAACACTCTGCAACACTCTGCAGCACTCTGCAACACTCCGCAACACTCCGCAACACTCTGCAGCACTCTGCAGCACTCTGCAACACTCTGCAACACTCTGCAACACTCTGCAACACTCCGCAACACTCCGCAACACTCTGCAACACTCTGCAACACTCTGCAGCACTCTGCAACACTCTGCAACACTCTGCAGCACTCTGCAACACTCTGCAGCACTCCGCAACACTCCGCAACACTCTGCAACACTCTGCAACACTCTGCAACACTCTGCAACACTCTGCAACACTCTGCAACATTCCGCATTACTCCGACGTCGGGTCGAGAGCAGCGCTTTACGGATCCATCGGTAGCAACAGACTACATTAAGAAAGAACTTCTCGGGGAAGACCATTCATGAAGAGTACAGATGACACAGCCCACGGTGGTGAGTCGCTGAACAGAAGATGAGGCGCTTCGTTATCACACGGACAGCGACAGGTCCATTAGGTAAAATAATCTATGATGGACATTTTAAGTTCTTTTTTTAAGTTCTTGCTTGTTCTTGATGTTTTCTAGTGATATTCTAAAAACAAAATTCTTGCCTTTTTAGCTATTGTAAGAGTTGTTTTCTTTTTTATTATTGTTATTATTATTTATTCTCACTTATTTGTAGTATTAGTTGTATCTACCTACTTGATTTTGTAAAGGAGAATGTTGTTTTACATGTTCCCCCCGAGAGACATTTAAAAAAAAAAAATTATATATATATATATATATATATATATATATATATATATAATCTTTTTGACAAAGTTCATAGTGTTTGCCCCGTAGCGGGGCACTTGAGGAGTTGTAGGATGTTTAGCTGTTGCGTTTTGCTAGCAATCAGGGATGCGATCTCTATTTTTATTTTATATAGTAGATCAGCACAGGGTTTTTATTTTTGGCTCCTGTTTGGTTTCTTTTGTTTTCTTGTTTTATTGGGCAGAAACAACTGTATTTTTATTTTTCTATTGTATTATAGATTAAATTTTACAATACACTTAAATGGGTGATTTGCAGGGCAACACCAGTCTCTGTTTTTTAAGTTGGAATGTTAAGGGTATTAATAATCCAATTAAACGATCCAGAGTTTTTGCACATTTAAAATCCTTAAAGTCTGATGTGATGTACCTACAGGAAACGCATCTCCGTTTGACTGAACAAAATAGGCTTAAAAAACCTTGGATAGGGCAGATATTTAGCTCAAAGCACGATGCTAAGACAAGAGCGACTGCTATTTTGATTAGAAAGGGAATTCCTTTCATTCCACTAACAACAATTGCAGATAACAGAGGTACATCATCGTGAAAGGTAAATTATGGAAACAGGTTATTTTGGAGAATATATATGGACCAAACTATGATGATCCTAACTTCTTCTCCACCTTAACAGGGATTCTACCAGACATCACAGAAAGACAACTGATATTGGGGGAGATTTTAATCTTGTGCTCCATCCACATTTAGATAGATCTAATCCAGGAGCAAACTTTCAAAAGACAGTTCTGTTATTCACAACTTCATCAAATCTTATGGTCTTTTGGAACCATGGAGAAACTTAAACCCGATAACCAAACAATTTTCCTTTTTTTCTCCTGTGCACCGCACATATTCAAGGATTGATTTTTTCATTGTAGATGGAGAGATTTTGCCAATACAACAGCATTGTCATTTCAGATCATAGTCTTGTCCAATTGGATCTCAGATTCTCTGAGAGCCCCAGGCCTCGACAGACGTAGCGTCTCGACCCTCGACTGATGTCTTATAGTTCATTTTATTTATTTTATGGACCTCAATCAAACCCCAGGCAGAAGAGTATTATCTGGGAAGCTTTTAAAACGTTTATTAGAGGTCAGATCATTTCATACGCAGCGTTTCAAAGGAAAAGGGATAAACAAAAACTTAATGAACTGTCTGAGAATATAAAGGAAATAGATCACTTTTATGCAGAAGGCCCAACACCAGATCTCTATCGAAGAAAATTACTATTGAATTCTGAATTTGAAGGACTCTCTGTGAAACAAACAGAGCATCTTCTTCTCAAATCAAAACAAACCTTCTATGAACACGGCGAAGGGGCTGGGAAACTTCTTGCTCCTCAGATTAAACAATCCGTTGCTGCAAATGCGATCTCTGAAATCTGCAAAGCTTCAGGAGAAGAAGACTGCTGATCCGAAAACCATTCATGACGACTTTAAACAATATGATGCTACTCTTTACAGTTCTGAGTCTGTTAATGAAACAAGCTTAGCTAACTTTTTAGATGGATTACCTATTCCACAGATTACTCCAGAAAGTAGAACTCAAATTGAAAAAGAGATAACAACCGGCGAAATAGTTCAGGCAATTAAATCAATGCAGGGTAATAAAGCACCAGGGCCTTTCCTATAGATGTTTATAAAGTTTTTGTTGACAAATTGGCACCGAAATTAAAAGCAGTCTATCAAGAAAGTTTTAGTCTTAGTATATTACCTCAAACCATGACGCAATAAAGAAGGAAAGGATCCACTACTGTGTGGTTCGTACAGGCCTGTGAGCCTCTTGAAAAATGATTACAAAATCCTTACAAACATTTTAGCAGATTAATACCATCATACCAGAAGTCCTTGATCCAGAGCAGACTGGTTTTATATCTGGCAGGCAGTCATTTTACAATATGCGGCGTTTACTTAATATTATACATATGCCAGAAAACACGGACAAATCAGAGATAATCATTTCACTGGATGTTGAAGAGGCCTTTGACCGTATTGAGTGGCAGGACCTTTTCGCAGTTTTACAGACATTTGGATTTGGTCCCTTATTCCAAAAATGGATTGGGATACTGTACTCCTCCCCTGTTGCTTCTGTGCGAACAAATAACATGATTTCAGACTTCTTTGATTTGCATAGGGGCTGTAGACAGGGCTGTAGTCTCTCTCCCTATCTTTTTGATTTGGCAATCGAACCGTTAGCTATAGCACTAAGAAATGATGAAGAGGTTACAGGGATCTCCAGAGGAGGCATAACACATAAGGTTTCCCTTTATGCTGATGACCTGCTGCTGTATATTTACAACCCTATTGCTTAAGACTTTGGATATGTTTGGTCGCCTTTCAGGATACAAATTGAATTATGCAAAAAGTTTACTGTTCCCTGTTAATAATATTGATAAGGATTTTTCTGATTTTCCCTTTAAAGTAGAAAAAAAGGTATTTAAGTATTTAGGAATATATATTACACGCTCAATGGCAGAGCTGCGAACCCAAAACTTTGACATATTGTTGGAAAAAACGGTTAAGAATTTTAAAAAAATGGGCAACATTACCAATATCCTTGGCAGGCAGGATAAATATAGTTAAAATGGCAGTTTTACCCAAGTTTCTCTATGTGTTCCAAATGATCCCCTTTTTTGTGCCAAAATCGGTTTTTAAAAAAATTAGATAGTCTGATAGCAACTTTTATTTGGAATAATTCCAATCCTAGGATGAAAAAGAAATTCTTAGAGGTGCCTAAAGAAGCTGGGGGACTCGGGCTGCCTGGTTTTACTTATTACCAGTGGCGGCTGGTGGAATTTTCTACTGGGGGGGCTATGAATATGATGACTAGATATATACCAGAAGGGTAGGGATGCTTTCTGATCCCTACCCTGTAGCTTTCATCCAGCTGGGATGAAATATTTATCTTCCCAAACATAGCTAATTTGAGGGTATTTTGCATGTGGATACCAGTCTGCTCATGCTTCTTTGCCTTTTCTAAAAAGTGCTTCAGATCAGTCATACCTGTCTTGATCCATGCTGGGTCAGATCCTGATGTTTGAAACAAGAGGCATGGAAAGCAAAATAAAGCATTAGCCTCGCTACATGCTGCTAGCCAAGATTTGGCGCTGAACCAGGCCCTGGAAAAAGTACGAGTGTACCGTCCCCCCTGTCGCTGGACTGCTGACTAATGGTAATATTTGGCTGATCAGGTCCAAGCTCTTTAACCTCAACCTTCTCCTGGTATGATCTTCTCTCAAACGGTATTGTTTTGAGTGATCTAACTGAATTATTCTTTTTCTCGTTCTCCATTTTGCGTCTCTTTACGTTCGTCTCAAAACCCACAGCTTGACCTGTCAATCACTGTAAACGGACGTCACAGACAGTGACAGTACAGGTCGCGGGCGATCCCGCCCCCTCAGGGCGCACTTCTCCTGCGCCCCCAAATCGTCTTATCTCTTGCATTGAAGAGGAGCTACTGCGCATGTACAACTTTTAACGAGAGTCCATAGACGGCTCAGGGCGCAATCTTTTGCGCCCTGAGGCGGAAATACGTCTCAGTCCGACACAGACAACGCTGATGAGCTTAATCAATCCAACTCAGCATAAACTATAAAGTATTTCTTCCACATCTGAAATAAAACACACATAAATTTCAAAATATTTTAATGTTATTATTTTTTTTAACGTTTTATCAAGGTAACATGGCAGTTGTGAGTGGTGGGGCGGCGCCCTAGCGCCCTCTATTGGCGGCCGCCACTGCTTATTACTACTGGGCAGCTAATATTTCTAAGTTGTTACTTTGGAGGCATCTGTATGAGGGAACTGAGGGGGAGATCTGCTTTCTAACCCTATGCCTTTGGTAACTTCATCATTACCCTATGATTGTAAAAAGATACAAATAACCAATCCAATTGTTAAGACGTCTCTTAGGATATGGTTTCAGTTTAGAAAACATTTCTCTTTCCAGGAAGTGAGTCGATATCTCCCATTATCTTGCAATCCATTTTTTCTTACCCTCAATTTGGATCAAACGTTTCAGATTTGGCATGATAAAGGTTTGAAGTTCGTTTATCAGCTGTTTTCAGAGGATGGGTTTAGATCATTTGATTCTTCAACAATATGATCTTCCCTTTGTGTTCGCCTCGGGCTGATCAGTTTAAAGTTCTCTCATCGCCTTCATTATACTAACAAAAAATTAGCTAGAATTTTTCCAGGAGTGGACCCAGCCGGCCTGAGGTCAGAGCCGGCCTCTGAAGGCCACATGCTTTGGTCCTGTCCTGGTCTAGACAGTTATTGGGGGAACATTTTTCACGTATTGTCTCGTATTTGTGGTCAAGATCTGGCTCCTGATTTCAGAAGAGTATTTTTGGAATAACATCATCACAGGTAAATTGCTTTCAGGCAAATGCTGTTGCATTTGCAACTTTACTCGCTCGTCAATTAATATTATTTAATTGGAAATCAAACAGGGCCCCTTCATTTTCTCAGTGGTTGAAGGAGGTTCTTTCTTTTCTATCGTTGGAAAAGCTCAGACATAAACTAGCACCATCACAACATAAATGTTTTGTTACCTGGAAGCCCTTTGTAGAATATGTTAGACAATTTTCTTTTGATGTGTAATTGGTATCTGTTTTGTCATTGGTTATGTCATTCTACAAAATGTCTGTCCTTTTTATTTTCTTTTTTCTTTTTTCTTTTTAAGAGCCATGGGTGGGAGGAATACGGTTTTATAGATTATGTTGAAATAAAAGTGTACTGTTTGTAATTACTATGAAAATGATAAATAAAGTTTGTAAAAAAAAAAAAAAGAAAAAAAAAAAAAGAATCTGGTGAACGTACTCGGCGTCGCCCAAGATGTAGCAGCACAGACTGTCCCCAGAGGAACCTCCGCAGAGCGGCCCAGGAGGCAGAGAGTATAGGCCCCCAGGGGTCGTGGCCACACAAACCCAGTGGAAAGTCGTTGTTTGGAAAGCGGACTGCCCAGTCTAGTCCCACAATAACAGACAAAGAACCTGCAGTCACAGTAATGCAGACCTCCAATGCCCCCAGAGCTGGGGCCAAAGCCAGAGAAAGAAACCTTGACATGATGTGAGCTGCACCTCACATCAGCAGATTCTGAGACGCCTTGAGGAGCCGAGCTGACCGGAAATCCTCTTGATGGTTGATGAGATACACGACCGAGGTGTTGTCCCATCAAATAACGGACATACTTCCACAGCAGGTGGAGTAAAACCAGCTGGAGAGATAAGTGGACACATTGATGTGGAGTAGGGCTTGCAGCAGAGAGTCTACCGCCTTGAGGAGGGCAGAGAGATCCTGATCCAGTAAATGAGCCTTTGCCGGTCTGTGATCAAAGTCACCTTGACCCAGCCTGACATGTGTGGCCGGCGTCGGTGGGAATTGTAAATGATATCCAGGGAGCAATTTGGCAACTAAATTCTTATGTACCTCCAGCAGATGTTCCAGTACAGAACTCAGAACACACAATAAGAGAGAAAAAACACAGATAGAGTTAGGCCCGGTTTAGGTCTTTTGTCTGTGGAGAACAATAGCGCCTCCCAGAGGCAGCAGTGTGAATAGTCCATGATCAGCCACTGTCCTGTATGATCTTCTGGACTCTCGATAGTATTGTGGATGGGGATGTGTTCCACTCTGCGGGGGGTCCATCCTGATGGTTTCTTAATGTCTTGAGCGGGGACACAGAACCATTAGCGAAAAACAGAGCCGCTGCAGAAGACGACCTGTTTTCCATGTCAAAAAGTAAAAGGCTGACGCGCCTGCCTCAGCAAGCGCGTTAGACTGTGAGGGTGGGGCGCGTGGTCACTGAGCCAACATACTAACAGTCACATGCGTTGCTTTCCAGCCTACGTACACTGCCAGGGCAGGGGCTTCTGCACAGGTTCTCCTTTATGTGTTGTGGTGTGGGTCAGTGCTGGTGACTGGTATTGGTGTGGGGTCCGCAGCTGGTGACTGGATGCTGGTGAGTGACCGCATCTTTAGTATAGTTATCAGTAGTTAACTCCCAGTGTTGGATGAGTGATTTGTTGATCCACGGCAGCAGGTGTCTGTGTTGTTGTTGGGTCGTACATTCTTGGTGGTTATCAGAGAAGTTGTGAGGAAAGTGAGGTTGATCATAGATGCTGGTGTGGCTCAGCTTGCTGGTGTCATGTGTTGACTGGTGTGGAGTCAGCTGCTGGTGTCTGTGTTGCTGGTGTGGGGTACCAGCTGCTTGTGTCTGTGTTTGCTGGTGTGGGCTGTGGCTGGTACCTGAGTGGTGGGGGTCCGTGACGGCTGATGGTGCGTGGGGAGTTGAGGGGGGGTACAGTGTCTGCGGTGCTCTGAGGCATCGGGGAGGAGTAGGGTTGTGCACAGGCGGAGGAGCTGGGCCGGCGAGGCAGCGTGGAGGCCAGACAGCTGTCTGAGGGGGGTTTGGGCAGTGGAGGGTAGGCAGCGTCTGTGGGGGGCGGGGGAGAGTGACAGAGTGAGAGAGTGACAGAGTGAGAGAGGGACAGAGGTGAGAAGAGTGACAGAGTGAGAGAGTGACAGAGTGACAGAGTGAGCGAGTGACAAAGAGTGAGAGAGAGTGACAGAGTGAGAGAGTGACGAGTGACAGAGTGACCAGGAGTGAGAGAGTGACAGAGTGAGAGAGTGACAGAGTGAGAGGAGTGACAGAGTGACAGAGTGACAGAGTGCCAGAGTGAGAGAGAGTGACAGAGTGACAGAGTGACAGATGTGACAGAGTGAGAGAGTGACAGAGTGAGAGAGTGAGAGAGTGACAGGAGTGAGAGGAGTGACAGAGTGAGAGCGTGTCCAGAGTGAGAGAGTGACAGAGTTGAGAGAGTGACAGAGTGTGAGAGTGAGGACGAGTGACAGAGTGACAGCGTGTGAGAGAGGGACAGAGTGACAGAGTGAGAGAGTGAGAGAGTGAGAGAGTGACAGAGTGAGAGAGGACAGAGTGACAGAGTGAGAGAGTGAGAGAGTGACACGAGTGAGAGAGTGAGAGAGTGACAGAGTGACAGAGTGAGAGAGTGAAAGAGTGACAGAGTGACAGAGTGGAGAGAGTGACAGAGTGAACAGAGTGACAGAGTGACAGAGTGACAGAGTGAGAGAGGGACAGAGTGAGAGAGTGACCGAGTGACCAGAGTGAGAGAGTGACAGAGTGACAGAGTGACCAGAGTGAGAGAGTGACAGAGTGAGAGAGTGACAGAGTGAGAGAGTGCGAGAGAGTGACAGAGTGAGAGAGTGACAGAGTGACAGAGTGACAGAGTGACAGAGTGAGAGAGTGACAGAGTGACAGAGTGACAGAGTGGAGAGAGTGACAGAGTGACAGAGTGACAGAGTGATGAGAGTGACAGAGTGACAGAGTGACAGAGTGAGAGAGTGACAGAGTGAGAGAGTGAGAGAGTGAGGAGTGAGAGAGTGACAGAGTGACAGAGTGACAGAGTGACAGAGTGAGAGAGTGACAGAGTGACAGAGTGACAGAGTGACAGAGTGAGGAGAGTGACAGAGTGACAGGTGAGAGAGTGACAGAGTGAGAGAGTGAGAGAGTGAGAGAGTGAGGGAGAGTGACAGAGTGACAGAGTGAGAGAGTGAGAGAGTGAGAGAGTGAGAGAGTGAAGGACAGAACCAAAACACATCCAGAGCTTTGGAAAACTTTCATTGATTCATTCACTTTAGGCTGGTCAAACAGAACATATACAATAAACACACACACACACACACATACAGTACATACACGCACACACTTCAAACACACACTTACAGACCTATACACACACACTGTACACACACATATTTTCCACCCACAGTAACAGGGCATCAGTTGAAAGAAGGGAAAACAAACAGTGTGTGTGTCTATGTGTAAAATTGTTTTAGAAAAACATAATAGATTCACTTCAACTCAGACTAACTCTTGTTGGAACTGAACCTATGGACCCAGACAACGTTAGCCCACACAGAGGACCATGAACCTATGGCCCCGACAACGTTAAGCCACACAGAGGACATGACCTACGGACCCAGACAGACGTTAAGCCCACACAGTAGGACCATGAACTATGGACCCAGAGTGGGGGACAGACGTTAGCCACACAGAGGACCATGAACCTATGGACCGGACAGACGTTAGCCCACACAGAGGACCATGAACCTATGGACCCAGACAGACGTTAGCCCACACAGAGGACCATGAACCTATGACCCAGACCAAGTCGTTAGCCACAAGAGGACATGAACCTATGGACCCAGTGACAGACGTTAGCCCACACAGAGGGACCATGAACCTATGGACCCAGACAGGACGTTAGCCACACAGAGTGACCATGAACCTATGGACCCAGACAGGGCGTTAAGCCCACACAGGGACCATGAACCTATGGACCAGACAGACGTTAGCCCACACAGAGGACCATGAACCTATGGACCCAGACAGACGTTAGCCCAACAGAGGACCATGAACCTATGGACCCAGACAGACGTTAGCCCACACAGAGGACCATGAACCTATGGACCCAGGACAGACGTTAGCCACACAGAGGACCATGAACTATGGACCCAGACAGAAGTTAGCCCACACAGAGGACCATGAACCTATGGACCCAGACAGACGTTAGCCCACACAGAGGACCATGAACCTATGGACCCAGACAGACGTTAGCCCACAAGGGACCATGAACCTATGGACCCAGACAGGACGTTAGCAACAGAGGACCATGAACCTTATGGACCCAGACAGACGTTAGCCACACAGAGGACCATAACCTATGGAAACCCAGACAGACGTGAGCCCCCAGAGGACTGAACCTATGGGACCCAGACAGACGTTAGCCACACAGAGGACCATGAACCTATGGACCCAGCAGGACGTTAGCCCACACCGAGGCTGAACTATGGACCAGACAGACGTTAGCCCCACACAGAGGACCATGAAGACAAACAACACGTTGGGATTCTCTTTATCCTTTATAAATATAAGATTCTTTAGATTAGACTTTGGCAAAGAGCTCCCTCACTTGGTCTCTCTCTCTGGTTCTCTTCTGGTTCTCTCTGGTCTCTCTCTGGTCTCTCTCTCTGGTCTCTCTCTGGTCTTCCATCTCTCCGGTCTCTCTAGGAATGTGCGTAGTCTCTACTGTGGTCTCTCTCTGGTCTCTCTCTGGGGCATCTCTGGTCACTCTCTGGTCTCTCTGTGGTCTCTCTCTCGGTCTCTCTCTGGTCTCTCTCTGGTCTCTCTCTGGTCTCTCTCTCTGGTCTCTCTCTCTGGTCCTCTCTTGGTCTCTCTCTCTGGTCTCTCTCTGGTCTCTCTTGGTACTCTTCATGGTCTCTCTCACGGACCAGGACTTTACCAGACTTGGAGTCTATAGCTACTGCAGGACCTGGGTTATCGATGCAGCTCTGACTGGAGCTCGGAACTAGAGCCTTGGTCAGCCCCTGGGCCTCAAGTTCCTTGACATCAGGGGGGGAAGGGGGGGGGGGGGAGTTTCAGTTGCTGTGAAGTTAAAGACTAATGGAAAAACTATAAATCACTTCAATGTTTAAATTGTTTGCCCGCGGCACATCCACAGAATGAATATATATAACTATGCTACTGCTGCTGCTGCTGCTGCTGCTGCTGCTGCTGCTGCTGCTGCTGTACTGCTGCTGCTGCTGGTGCTGCATGCTGCTGCTACGTGCTGCTGCTGCTACTGCTGCTGCTGTCTGTACTATTCCTACTGTGTCTGCTACTGCTACTGCTGCTGCTGCTCTGCTGCTGCGTGCTGCTGTGCTACGCTATGTGCTGTACTGCTCGTGTGTGCTGTGTGTGCTGTGCTGTGCTGTGTGCAGTGCAGCACTTATACATTGATGTGTTTCTTTGTGATCAAGAACTACACAAGCTTCTCATGTTTGATTAGTGAACAGTGAACAGAGATGGGTGCGCAGTTTGGAGTGCTCAGGGAGGCGTGCAGAGTATGCTTCGGATGAGAGACGGACTGGATGCAACAGGGGACTCACAGAGGTCTGGGTCGATGGCCGTCCACTCAGATGTGGGCGAGTTCCTATGTTGTCTGCACTGTAGCTGTCCTGCACCCCCACTGACCTCCCGGGCATTTATGGGGGAGAAGTATTAGTAATCAGGTACGAATAATAAATGAGAATTAATAAATTAAAAATAATAATAATAATAATAAGACAGCGATAATATAGTAAATGTGTCGTCGCTTATTTAGTTACTTCATGAATCAATTGCCAAAAATATCATTCGTTCCATTTTCTTGCGCTTCATTGTTGGGGTCGGGGGGAGCAGTCAAGCAGAGCGCCCAGGACTTCCTCTCACAATTCCTCCAGTGTCGACCCCGTAGGCGTTCCAGGCCAGTGGAGAGACATAGTCCCTCGCGTGTCTAGGTCTTCCTGGGGCCTCTACCGGTGGGACGGGCCGGAACACCTCCAATTCCAATCCAATCCAATCCAATCCACTTTATTTATATAGCACATTTCATAAACACGCAGTTTCCAACGTGCTGCACACATGCAAAATTGCACCAAATAAAGGAATAAAAACATTTATATAAGAAAAATACCATAAAATAAATTAAAATTAACATAAAAAACAGAGGGACCGACTAGCGGAGTTAAAGCAGAGAATAAAGTGGGTCCTTAAGACGTGATTAAAACATTCCACGAGGAGCTGTTTTGACGTGGGGGGAGGGCGTTAGGATTTTGGTCCAGCACAGAGAAGGCTGTCCCCGGGTTTTACGACTGTACTTAGGCACACGAGCTGGAGCTGGCTCTCGGACTCGTGGGGGGCGGGTGGTAAATTGGCTGAGGTGAGAAGTTAAGGGGGGCCGTCCATTAGAGCTATAAAACAACAATAAAATCTTAACATAATTTAAAATGAAAGGAGGCAGTGCTACAAGGACGCAAGGCGGGAGTGATGTGGGCGCCTTTTTTGGTTCTGTTTAAAAGCCGTGCGCAACGTTCTGGTAACTGTAGGGTGAAGTGCTTGTGTGAAAATAGGAGTAGAGAGCGGTTACCGTAGTCAGACGTGTGAAGAAATAAAAGGTGCATCACTTATTCAAAAAGGTTAAGCGGCACGGTGGCTGAGTGGATAGCAATCTCGCCTTTCAGCAAGCCGTGACCTGGGTTCGAATCCCGGTCGGACAGGGCCTTTCTGAGTGGAGTTTCGCATGAATCCCGTGTAGCGTAGGTATTCCTGGGTGGGCTCCGGTTTCCCCTACCACTAAAATAAATTGAAAATAGGTCTGGCCATGTGCGTCCTGTCTGGCACCACATCCCCAAATAATCCACATTGTTAACAAAAACCGCTTTGAGCCTCGCTGTGCAGTGACAAGGGGTATCTAATAAAAGATTTTCCTTAAAAGATAAAAAAGTTTTAACCTTGGATAAAGCCGCAGAGTAAAAACACGATTTTAAAAACATGTTGACTGCTTGTCAAAGTAAAATCACTGTCTATAGTGACGCAAGGTTGGTGGGATGTGGGACGCCATGTTCATCAGCGGTCCCACATAAACCTGGTTGGCCCAAAGAGAATCACTTCTGTTTTTTTATAATTCATTCTTAAGAAAGTTTTGGGCCACCCAGGGAGGCGTCCAGGAGCATCGGAACAGATACGAGCACTCAACTGGATCCTCTCGACGTGGAGAAGCAGCGGCTCTACTCGAGCTCCTCCCGTTGTGACTGAGCTCCTCACCCTTCTCTAAGGGAGCAGCCACTCTGCGGAGGAAGCTCATTTCGACCGCTTGTATCCGCGATCTCGTTCTTTCGGTCTTACCCAAAGCTCCTGACCATAGGTGAGGGAGGGAACGAAGATTGACCGGTAAATCTGAGAGCTTTGCGGCAGCTCCCTTTCCCAACGGTCCGATAAAGCTCGATGAGACGCTGCTCTCTTACCACAACGGTCCGATACAGCGACCGCATCACTGCGCACGCTGCACCGATCCGCCTGTCAATCGCACGCTCACATCCTCCCCTCACTCGTGAACAAGACCCCGAGATACTTGAGGACGTCCTCCACTTGAGGAGAGGACCTCTCCAACGCCCGACCTGGAGAGGGCAAGGCGCCATTTTCCGGTCGAGCACCAATGGCCTCGGATTTGGGAGGTGGGCTGATTCTCATCCCAGCCGCTTCACCACACGGCTGCAAACCGGTCCCAGTGACATGTTGCAGGTCCTGGTTTGTTGGAAGGCCAACAGGGACAAAAATGTCTGACAAAGCAGGATGGAAATCCTGTGGTCTTCGAACGACCACGGTGCTGCGCTAGAAATTTGTCATAAATACAGTGAACAGAACCCGGTGACAAAGGGCAGCCAGTCGGAGGGCCCGGCTCGGTCATACTAGGGATCGGATGGCTCAGCTGAGCACCCCGGACCCCGTACTCCCGGAGAACCCCCAAAGGACAATCGGGAACACAGCGAACGCCATCTAAATCCAAAAAGGACATGTGGAACAGTAGGGCGAACTCCATGTACCTGGAGTATCGTATGGAGAGTATAGGTGGTCCGTTGCTGAAAAACCACACTGCTTCCTGCTCCGTGATTCGAATCGGGTGCTCGTCTCAGTACTTGGTGTAGACCATACCGGGGAGGCTGGGGAGTGTGATCCCACAATAATTGGAACACACCCTCCGGTCCCCTTCTTGTAGAGAGGGACCACCACCCCGGTCTGCCACTCCATTTGCACCCGCCCCCGATCGCCATATGCAGGATGCTGCAGTAGGACGTGTCCCACCAAGACAGTCCCGACAACATCCCCGAGACTTTAGGATAAGTCGGGACGGAATTCGCATCCACACTCGGGCCTTGCCACCAAGGAGGCTGACCTCCACATTGGTGACTCAGCCAGGGAGATGGATGTATCCGCCCCAACATCCTCAGCCTTGCCTCCTGGACGTGAGGAATGAGGGGGGATGAGGAGAACCTCGGAGTATTCTTCACCGCCCGACAATATCCCAGTCGAGGTCAGAGTCTCCACCCGCCCGTACCTGGTGATGCAAGCACTGTTCCCTTGCCTAGGGCGCGGACGGTTGCCGAATCTCTCGAAATCCTCCCGTCCGGGTTTTGCTCTGCAAACAGGCCGGGCCGCGGCACGCTTGGCGGTATGGAACAGCTGCCTCAGGAGGCCACGGACATCATGGCTCGATAGGGACTCCTTTACAGTCTGACGGCAAAAATATCCTAACAGCCGTAACACATTCTGATTATTCCAATTGTATTTTTGTTGTTGGTGAAGTTCAATTCAATATTTTTGTATCGACCTAACCACAACGTATTTATCTCTGCGGAATTACAAAAACTGTAGATTTCGACAAGATAGAGAATCAGACAAACACAGAGCATGGGTCAACAGGAGCAGAGAGCTAACAGAGTACAGAGTCAGATGTGGTAACAGAGTATAGATGTGAGTAAAGATGAGAGTAACAGATGTGAGTAACAGAGTACACGATGTGAGTAAAAGATGTGAGTAAACAGAGTACAGATGTGAGTAACAAGAGTTACAGTTGTGGAGTAACTAGATGTGAGTAACAGAGTATAGATGTGAGTACGATGTGAGTAACGATGTGAGTAACAGATGAGAGTAACAGAGTACAGATGTGATTAACAGAGTACAGATTGAGTACAGATGTGAGTAATGAGTAAGATGTGAGTAAAGAGTACAGATTTGAGTAACAAAGTAAGATTGTGAGTACCAGAGTACAGAATGGAGTAACAGAGTACAGTGTGAGTAACAGCGTACAGATGTAAAGTAAAGAGTACAGATGTGAGTAAAGAGTACAGATGTTATAAAGTAAGTGTGATTAAACAGAGTACAGTGTGAGTATAGATGTGAGTAACAGAGTAAGATGAGAGAACCAGATGTGAGTAACGAGTATAGAATTGTACCGTAAGATGTGAGTATCAGATTGTGAGTAACAGAGTACAGTGCGAGGTAACAGATGTGAGTAACAGGAGTATAGATGTGAGTTAAAGCAAGTGGGAGGTAAAGATGTGGTAAACAGAGTTCAGATGTGAGTGTACCAGATGTGGCGTAAAAGAGTATAGAAGTGAGTGTAACAGTACAGATGTGAGTAACAGATGTGAGTAACAGAGTACAGATGTGAGTAAAGAGTACAGATGTGAGTACAGGTACAGATGAGAGTAACAGATGTGAGTAACAGAGTACAGATGTGCCTCACAGACCTCACGGACCTCACGGACCTCACAGACCTCAGAGACCTCAGAGACCTCAGAGACCTCACAGACCTCACAGACCTCACAGACCTCACAGACCTCACACAGACCTCACAGACCTCACAGACCTCACAGACCTCCAGAGACCTCACGGACCTCACAGACCTCAGAGACCTCACAGACCTCACGGACCTCACAGACCTCACAGACCTCAGAGACCTCAGAGACCTCACAGACCTCACAGACCTCACAGACCTCACAGACCTCACAGACCTCACAGACCTCACAGACCTCACACAGACCTCACAGACCTCAGAGACCTCAGAGACCTCACAGACCTCACAGACCTCAGAGACCTCACAGACCTCACAGACCTCACAGACCTCACAGACCTCACACAGACCTCACAGACCTCACACAGACCTCACAGACCTCAGAGACCTCAGAGACCTCACAGACCTCACGGACCTCACAGACCTCACGGACCTCACAGACCTCAGAGACCTCACGGACCTCACAGACCTCACGGACCTCACAGACCTCACCTACCTCAGAAACCTCACAGACCTCACAGACCTCACAGACCTGACAGACCTCAGAGACCTCACAGACCTCACAGACCTCACACAGACCTCACAGACCTCAGAGACCTCAGAGACCTCACAGACCTCACAGACCTCAGAGACCTCACGGACCTCACGGACCTCACGGACCTCACAGACCTCACAGACCTCACAGACCTCACACAGACCTCGGAGACCTCACACAGACCTCACAGACCTCAGAGACCTCAGAGACCTCACAGACCTCACGGACCTCACAGACCTCAGAGACCTCAGAGACCTCACGGACCTCACAGACCTCACAGACCTCACAGACCTCAGACCTCACAGACCTCAGAGACCTCACGGACCTCACAGACCTCACAGACCTCAGAGACCTCACGGACCTCACAGACCTCAGAGACCTCACAGACCTCACAGACCTCAGAGACCTCACAGACCTCACAGACCTCACAGACCTCACAGACCTCAGAGACCTCACAGACCTCACAGACCTCAGAGACCTCACGGACCTCAGAGACCTCACGGACCTCACAGACCTGACAGACCTGACAGACCTCACAGACCTCACAGACCTCAGACCTCACAGACCTCACAGACCTCACAGACCTCACAGACCTCACAGACCTCACAGACCTCAGAGACCTCACAGACCTCACAGACCTCACAGACCTCAGAGACCTCACGGACCTCACAGACCTCACGGACCTCACAGACCTCACAGACCTCAGAGACCTCACAGACCTCACAGACCTGACAGACCTGACAGACCTCACGGACCTCACAGACCTCACAGACCTCACAGACCTCAGAGACCTCACGGACCTCACAGACCTCACGGACCTCACAAACCTCACAGACCTCAGAGACCTCACAGACCTCAGAGACCTCACGGACCTCACAGACCTCACAGACCTCACAGACCTCAGAGACCTCACAGACCTCACAGACCTCAGAGACCTCACAGACCTCAGAGACCTCACGGACCTCACAGACCTCACAGACCTCAGAGACCTCACAGACCTCACAGACCTCAGAGACCTCACAGACCTCACAGACCTCACGGACCTCACAGACCTCACAGACCTCAGAGACCTCACAGACCTCAGAGACCTCACGGACCTCATAGACCTCACAGACCTCACAGACCTCACACAGACCTCACAGATCTCACACAGACCTCACAGACCTCAGAGACCTCAGAGACCTCACAGACCTCACGGACCTCACAGACCTCAGAGACCTCACGGACCTCACAGACCTCACGGACCTCACAGACCTCAGAGACCTCACAGACCTGACAGACCTCACGGACCTCACAGACCTCACAGACCTCAGAGACCTCACGGACCTCACAGACCTCACAGACCTCAGAGACCTCACAGACCTGACAGACCTCACGGACCTCACAGACCTCACAGACCTCAGAGACCTCACAGACCTGACAGACCTCACGGACCTGACAGACCTCACAGACCTCAGAGACCTCACAGACCTCACAGACCTCAGAGACCTCACAGACCTCAGAGACCTCACGGACCTCACAGACCTCACGGACCTCAGAGACCTCAGAGACCTCAGACCTCACAGACCTGACAGACCTCACAGACCTCACAGACCTCAGAGACCTCAGAGACCTCAGAGACCTCACAGACCTCACGGACCTCACAGACCTCACAGACCTCAGAGACCTCACAGACCTCACAGACCTCACAGACCTCACAGACCTCAGAGACCTCAGAGACCTCACAGACCTCACAGACCTCACAGACCTCACAGACCTCAGAGACCTCAGAGACCTGACAGACCTCACAGACCTCACAGACCTGACAGACCTCACAGACCTCACAGACCTCACAGACCTGACAGACCTCACAGACCTCACAGACCTCAGAGACCTCAGAGACCTCACAGCCCTCACAGACCTCACAGACCTCACAGACCTCACAGACCTCAGAGACCTCAGAGACCTCACAGACCTCAGAGACCTCAGAGACCTCACAGACCTCACGGACCTCACAAACCTCAGAGACCTCACGGACCTCACAGACCTCACGGACCTCACAGACCTCACAGACCTCAGAGACCTCACAGACCTGACAGACCTCACGGACCTCACAGACCTCACAGACCTCAGAGACCTCACGGACCTCACAGACCTCACAGACCTCAGAGACCTCACAGACCTGACAGACCTCACGGACCTCACAGACCTCAGAGACCTCACAGACCTGACAGACCTCACGGACCTCACAGACCTCACAGACCTCAGAGACCTCACAGACCTCAGACCTCACAGACCTCAGAGACCTCACAGACCTCACAGACCTCAGAGACCTCACAGACCTCAGAGACCTCACGGACCTCACAGACCTCACGGACCTCAGAGACCTCAGAGACCTCACAGACCTGACAGACCTCACAGACCTCACAGACCTCAGAGACCTCAGAGACCTCACAGACCTCAGAGACCTCACGGACCTCACAGACCTCACAGACCTCAGAGACCTCACAGACCTCAGAGACCTCACAGACCTCACAGACCTCACAGACCTCACAGACCTCAGAGACCTCACAGACCTCACAGACCTCACAGACCTCAGAGACCTCAGAGACCTCACAGACCTCACAGACCTCACAGACCTCACAGACCTCAGAGACCTCAGAGACCTCACAAACCTCACAGACCTGACAGACCTCACAGACCTCACAGACCTCACAGACCTCAGAGACCTCAGAGACCTCACAGACCTCACAGACCTCACAGACCTCACAGACCTCACAGACCTCAGAGACCTCAGAGACCTCAAGACCTCACAGACCTCAGAGACCTCACGGACCTCACAGACCTCACAGACCTCAGAGACCTCACAGACCTCAGAGACCTCACAGACCTCACAGACCTCACAGACCTCACAGACCTCACAGACCTCACAGACCTCACAGACCTCACAGACCTCAGAGACCTCACAGACCTCACAGACCTCACAGACCTCACAGACCTCACAGACCTCAGAGACCTCAGAGACCTCACAGACCTCACAGCTCACAGACCTCACAGACCTCACAGACCTCACAGACCTCACAGACCTCACAGACCTCAAGACCTCACAGACCTCACAGACCTCACAGACCTCAGAGACCTCAGAGACCTCACAGACCTCACAGACCTCACAGACCTCACAGACCTCACAGACCTCAGAGACCTCAGAGACCTCACAGACCTCACAGACCTACAGACCTCACAGACCTCAGAGACCTCACAGACCTCCAGACCTCACAGACCTCACAGACCTCACAGACCTCAAGACCTCACAGACCTCACAGACCTCACAGACCTCACAGACCTCACAGACCTCAAGACCTCACAGACCTCACAGACCTCACAGACCTCACAGACCTCACAGACCTCACAGACCTCACAGACCTCACAGACCTCACAGACCTCACAGACCTCACAGACCTCACAGACCTCACAGACCTCACAGACCTCACAGACCTCACAGACCTCACAGACCTCACAGACCTCACAGACCTCACAGACCTCACAGACCTCACAGACCTCACAGACCTCACAGACCTCACAGACCTCACAGACCTCAAGACCTCACAGACCTCACAGACCTCACAGACCTCAAGACCTCACAGACCTCACAGACCTCACAGACCTCACAGACCTCACAGACCTCAAGACCTCACAGACCTCACAGACCTCACAGACCTCAAGACCTCCAGACCTCACAGACCTCACAGACCTCACAGACCTCACAGACCTCACAGACCTCACAGACCTCACAGACCTCACAGACCTCACAGACCTCACAGACCTCAAGACCTCACAGACCTCACAGACCTCAAGACCTCAGAGACCTCACAGACCTCACAGACCTCACAGACCTCAGACCTCACAGACCTCACAGACCTCACAGACCTCACAGACCTCACAGACCTCAAGACCTCCAGACCTCACAGACCTCACAGACCTCTCAGACAGACCTCACAGACCTCACAGACCTCAAGACCTCACAGACCTCACAGACCTCAGAGACCTCAGAGACCTCCAGACCTCAGAGACCTCAGAGACCTCACAGACCTCAGAGACCTCACAGACCTCAGAGACCTCAGAGACCTCACAGACCTCAGAGACCTCACAGACCTCAGAGACCTCAGAGACCTCACAGACCTCACAGACCTCAGAGACCTCACAGACCTCAGACCTCTCAGACCTCACAGACCTCACAGACCTCAGAGACCTCACAGACCTCACAGACCTCAGAGACCTCAGAGACCTCACAGACCTCACAGACCTCAGAGACCTCAGAGACCTCAGAGACCTCAGAGACCTCAGAGACCTCAGAGACCTCACAGACCTCACAGACCTCACAGACCTCACAGACCTCACAGACCTCACAGACCTCACAGACCTCTCAGACCTCACAGACCTCACAGACCTCACAGACCTCACAGACCTCACAGACCTCAGAGACCTCAGAGACCTCACAGACCTCAGAGACCTCAGAGACCTCAGAGACCTCAGAGACCTCAGAGCCCTCACAGACCTCACAGACCTCACAGACCTCATCAGACCTCACAGACCTCACAGACCTCACAGACCTCACAGACCTCACAGACCTCAAGACCTCAGAGACCTCACAGACCTCACAGACCTCACAGACCTCACAGACCTCACAGACCTCAGAGACCTCACAGACCTCACAGACCTCACAGACCTCACAGACAGACTCACAGACCTCACAGACCTCACAGACCTCACAGACCTCACAGACCTCAGACCTCACAGACCTCACAGACCTCACAGACCTCACAGACCTCACAGACCTCACAGACCTCACAGACCTCAGAGACCTCACAGACCTCACAGACCTCACAGACCTCACAGACCTCAGAGACCTCACAGACCTCAGAGACCTCAGAGACCTCAGAGACCTCACAGACCTCACAGACCTCACAGACCTCACAGACCTCACAGACCTCACAGACCTCACAGACCTCACAGACCTCACAGACCTCACAGACCTCACAGACCTCACAGACCTCAGAGAGCCTCT